TAGGTTAATAGCGATATACTAATATACTAATTACATGGGATATAATAATATACTACACTAATAATGGATTTTTTCATACTTTTCGGTTATCCGACTTTTCAATTATCCGACCAACCCCAGTCCCCAATTAGTGCGGATAATCGAGGTTCTACTGTATACATTTTGGTAAATATACTTCAACTTAAAATCAGAAACAGTCTTGATTTGTCATCTGAAGTGAAAAGCTGTTAAAATAGTGATGAGGAAGTTACTAATTAAAAATTGTTTATATTTCTTATTATTACCAAAAAACTTACTAATACACCTTATCTTAAGGTGTATTAGTAAGTTTTTTGGTATTAATAGTATGCAGTTGATAACGAATTTCTTATTATATTATTAAGAAATATTTTTTTATAATCAAAAAGGCATGTAAAAACAACTTGCAGCTTTCCTTAAGATTTAATGTATTTATTCAAAGTTTCCTTGATCTGAACAGATAAATACAGCACTGAGCAGAGCTACTCATGGAATTAAATTCAAATTTATAATGACTGCAAGTTTTTAGATAAATAACAAACAAAAACCAAAATCAGTTTTTACATCATTTATTCTTAGATATTTATGAAGTTTTATAATTAAAAATTATTATTATAAAACTTCATATTAAGGATGATAAATATAGTAAATATATTTATCATGTATTCATTAATTTTATACTATCCACAAATTCATAGTGTATAATTTTTTATATTATATCCAAATCACAACTCATTCTTGACTCCTTTTTATTTGACATTTAAAGTAATAGTGACATGTTTTGACTTTATGTTCTCTTCAGACTAATACATATACTTCACCTATAAACAACAAGGAATACAACATACAAACACCTCATAATAGTATACAAATATATTGATCATTCTTGAAGAAATTTTACTGTCTAGTTTCAAGAATGTTCAGCATAATTAAATAATTTCACAAGATATCAATGTGTTGTATATGAGCACAAATGTAGTTAGAATATACATATTAGTCCGATAATGGTTATAAAGCCAAAACATATCATTACTATTACTTTAAATGTCAAATAAAAAAGTGTCAAAGATTGAATAATGATCTTTTTTGGACATGACATCAAGTTACACATTATAAATCTGTGGATAATATGAAATTAATTAATGAGTACATTTAATAATTAAAATATGCCTTTTTTTAATTTTGCATTTTAACTCTGAAATCCAAATATTTAAATTAAAAAAAAACAAAATCAAAAAATATTTCTATTAAATCAATCAGTTAAATAGTAACCAGAAATACTTTAAGATATTTTAGATCCTGAAAAATACTTCTGGTATATTGTTTTTACCTTTGTGGAATATAGAACATTTGATTTATGGGAGGTCTTTCTAATCTCCCACTATAAACAGGCCAGAGTCCACGTAATATTCGAAACAAGGAACTTTTTCCACATCCATTAGGGCCAGTTATTAATACGTGCATATCGCATGTCATCTAAATAATAATGATGATGTAAAATTACAAAATTTTTGTATGGAAGCTGATGTGTATTCAGATATACATAAAATTATAATAGAAGTATCTTTTTACTTACTGAAAATGAAATACTAGGAACAACAACATCACAGTTTGGTGTAATAATGGGAACATTATCAAGCCTTAAAATACCATCTCTTTCAATAACACATCCTAAGCCAAAAAAATTTTTAATTATCATAATTTAGATATTTAAAACAAAATTTCATTTTAAACATAAAAATACATATGATCTACTAAAAATAAACTGCTAAAAGAATTGTTTTACTACAATAATTTATACTTTAAAAATCTAAATTATATAAAGACTAACAGATGAGCCTGGCATTGCTTGGGCTAAAAGTAACAATAGCAAAGATTAAGCTTATGAGAAAATTATCATCTAAGCGTTAACAACCTAGAGCTATCACTACAAACAACTAGCGCTTTCAACGAAACTATTTTCGTCTTCTTCAGGTTGATAGAACAGTTAATAACNTATACTATCCACAAATTCATAGTGTATAATTTTTTATATTATATCCAAATCACAACTCATTCTTGACTCCTTTTTATTTGACATTTAAAGTAATAGTGACATGTTTTGACTTTATGTTCTCTTCAGACTAATACATATACTTCACCTATAAACAACAAGGAATACAACATACAAACACCTCATAATAGTATACAAATATATTGATCATTCTTGAAGAAATTTTACTGTCTAGTTTCAAGAATGTTCAGCATAATTAAATAATTTCACAAGATATCAATGTGTTGTATATGAGCACAAATGTAGTTAGAATATACATATTAGTCCGATAATGGTTATAAAGCCAAAACATATCATTACTATTACTTTAAATGTCAAATAAAAAAGTGTCAAAGATTGAATAATGATCTTTTTTGGACATGACATCAAGTTACACATTATAAATCTGTGGATAATATGAAATTAATTAATGAGTACATTTAATAATTAAAATATGCCTTTTTTTAATTTTGCATTTTAACTCTGAAATCCAAATATTTAAATTAAAAAAAAACAAAATCAAAAAATATTTCTATTAAATCAATCAGTTAAATAGTAACCAGAAATACTTTAAGATATTTTAGATCCTGAAAAATACTTCTGGTATATTGTTTTTACCTTTGTGGAATATAGAACATTTGATTTATGGGAGGTCTTTCTAATCTCCCACTATAAACAGGCCAGAGTCCACGTAATATTCGAAACAAGGAACTTTTTCCACATCCATTAGGGCCAGTTATTAATACGTGCATATCGCATGTCATCTAAATAATAATGATGATGTAAAATTACAAAATTTTTGTATGGAAGCTGATGTGTATTCAGATATACATAAAATTATAATAGAAGTATCTTTTTACTTACTGAAAATGAAATACTAGGAACAACAACATCACAGTTTGGTGTAATAATGGGAACATTATCAAGCCTTAAAATACCATCTCTTTCAATAACACATCCTAAGCCAAAAAAATTTTTAATTATCATAATTTAGATATTTAAAACAAAATTTCATTTTAAACATAAAAATACATATGATCTACTAAAAATAAACTGCTAAAAGAATTGTTTTACTACAATAATTTATACTTTAAAAATCTAAATTATATAAAGACTAACAGATGAGCCTGGCATTGCTTGGGCTAAAAGTAACAATAGCAAAGATTAAGCTTATTAGATTATGGCTGATCTTACCTATTTTCACTGGGTCAAGAATTAGGTTCATTCTCTTTTGAGACTCATTACAGAATTAAATCATAAATAATTTTATTTTATTTATGAAATGACTGTTACAGCTAATTAAAATGTGAATTAAAGATAAAATTTTATTTTTAAAAAGTTGGATAATTTCAAATGCATTTTTAATGGAGGTAAATTAAAACTTTAATTATTATTGTCATTAAAAAGTTGTTACAAATTTTAAGATATTATAAGCTGTGGAGAAGTTAAAAATATTCTTTGTTATCTTCAACAGATGAACTTAAGACATTAGGTCAGAAGGTTATGTGAAAGCATCACTTTTGCTGATGACTAGGGTTTCTCATTTCCCGGTCTTTTGCTTGTCCCGGGATCCCGGGATAAAAGTGAATTGTTTCCCAGGATCCCGGGATAGAATTAATTATTTTTAAGGTATACAAAATATCTTGAAATCAAATGATATAATTATTTTCCATTTTTTAAAGTAATTTTAAAGTTCTGTAACCTCCAAAATCATATTANTTAATTTCATTCGTTACCACGATTAATTTCTTAATATTTTATTTTATTTATGTTTTACGTAATTAATTTTAATTTTTAAACCGTTGTATAGCTTACATTCTATTTTACGTTCGTTTTCCGTTTTAAAGTTCTTAACTGATGAAGACTATTAAATATAGTCGAAAACGTTTTTAAATTTATTAAATACGTTGCTGGAAATAGTAAGGTGGTTTGATTATTTTATGATGTATCAACTGTCAAATTTGTTGTACCTGCTAGGTAATGACTCAACATGGTTTACAACCCAGGTTCTGTAAGTCATTTGTTTGTCATAAGAATGTAGCATTACATATGGCCATATGGCCATTTCTATTTTAATTTCAGAACCTTTTATGAGCCAAAAGGCCACTCTGTACTTTACCCAACTGTGCCTCATGGTGTCAGGAAAGAAATAAAGATTTTTGTGTGTTTGTTTGTTTGTATGTGTGTTTGTGTTTAATCTGGCACCCCTATGTGTAAGGAAAGGCCAAATAATTAAGAGTCTAGTAAATTTTTAAATTTTCAAATGCATTTATATGAATTATTTTGGTCTTATAACAAAGTAAATTCAAAATAATAATCTGACAAATAATGTATATGTCTGTGTTTTCTAAATAAGTATTGTCATTACAAGATCAAATGGGTTATTAGAAATGAGAATATAGACTTTTAAACAAAAGTATACAACTAATTTATTTGTACAAAGTATTCAAATACAACATATGCTTTAGTATCAGATGTGCAAATTCTGGCAATACTTAGCAAGAGAGATGGAAGTACTAGCACAGTATATATATATATAAATCATATACAGTTCACAAGATAGTCATTCATGTTCAGTCATGCATCAAGTTTAAGATTACAGGCAAAATCAGATTTTTGTTGATGGATGCTATAAATTTCTGTACATTGTCATCTCCAAAAATCTGTCTGCAACATGATAATGCTTGGTCCAATTCCTCATACCTAGAAGAGTTCATGATCACAAAACTGAAATTGAGATGTCCCCCATTCTCCAGATCTTGACCCTCAAGATTATATTATCATCTTTCTACCATTACTAAGAGCACTTGGAAAAGGCATTTTCAAAGTAAAAATGTAAACAGCAATGCAATTGCTGTAAGGAAAACTTTCCTTATCTAAATTTTTTTTGGATTTTAAATAAAAATTGTAAAAAATAAATTTTTTGTTAAGAAGGTTGCAAAATTTTATTTGAATCTTTGGACTCATCTGCTCAGAAAGTTGTGGACTACAAATGTTTTGTTGGTTTCAAGGTTTTTTCGTGTTCTCTAGCACATTTCTTTATTTAGAATTTAAAATAAAAATATTATATTCCTGTGGCTCTCTTGCAAGTTTATTTAGCAGCAAAAACATTACAGTGCATTTTCAAACTATCTAGAATCTTCTGGAAAGACATCCAGTCACTAATTCACATGCTAGAGAAAGTGTCCATAAGAAATAATTATGTTCAAAAATAATTTTAATATATTATAAAAAACATTTATTGGTTATATTTTTCAGAATTGTGGAGGATAATGGTAGGGGTGGCTCCATCCCAATCATATACATTAGTACAGTGCACTTGTAAACCCAATCATCATAATTAAATTCTACATTTGGTTATGTTTATCAAGTTTTCAGCAAGGAGGATAGGGCTAGGACCATCCTTCTAAGGTATCCTTAAAATTCATCAGATAGATAGCTCCTCAAAGTTTCAGTCTTCTATCTCAATTGGAAGTGGTTGAAATTTGAGTTGCAAGATTTGAGGACATGATAATGATATGCAATAAATATGACTTATAACAAAGTTATTGTTTTCATATTAATCATCTTGATATAATATAGTAATCTGATGAAACCATCAAGTAATTCAAGTAAGATTTTATATTATTTTAATAAAATGCATCTAAATTTCTGTACTACTATTTTTTTTTAACTCTCTACCCATGTACACTAAAGAGGAATTTTTTCCAAGTCCATCATGGATGTGGCCAAGCCTAGAATGGGGTAGCCAAATAGAGAGGAATAGGGATGACATATCTGAGACAGACCACCACCCATCCAGATTAAATCCTGGGTTCCCCAGAGTGGTAGCTTGACACCTTAACACAGCCATCTGGCTGTTAAATTTTTATGCTTTCATTTTTTAATTTTTTTTTCTGAATACATTGTTTCTTTGATTTAATTCCTCTTATAAGGCAAAAATGATTTTACTCTTTTATTAAAATACTCAATTTCTCTAATTTTTAATTTCAATAAAATCTAATTCAAATTTTCAACTGCATTACTGAAAAAAAATTAAATAATTTCAATTTTATTAGTTGATAAAATAAAATCAAGAATTTCATTAATTTTCAACAATTTTTTCCTGAAATATCACCTCTCAGCCCTGTGAAAATTCATTAATAAATTTCAAGAGATTACATTAAACTTTATTCTACTAACAAAACTTTTGAAAATGAAGACTCAAAAATAAAGTCAATGGGCACATTGTCTGGTAAAGTGGCTTTAATACAGGTGGATAAGAAAACCAAGACAGTCTGTTTCAAATAAAATAGGCTGTATCCATTGGCTTGCTTATCCAGCTGTATTAAAGCCACTTTACCAGGCAGTGTGTCCAGTAATATGCAAATGAACTTTTTGGAATAAAACTTTTTAATTATAAATTGTTTTAATTATAAACTTCTCATATTAATAAATAAAATTCTTTCATTTTTAAAATTGTACAGTCTATAAATGTAGAAATTTGAAAGCTTTTAAGGTTTATATTCAGAGCATGAGTAGAAAAAAAATTAATTCTTAATATAATTTTAATTTATTAATGTAAGCAGATTATTTTATATCTAAATTTTATTTATTCTTGTGAATTAATTATTCTATCAATTCCTCCAAAGGCTGGAACTGACACACAATTACATAAGAACTTCACACTCTTCCAAGCAGAAAATATTTTTATTCAAACAACTACTTTCAGCACCATTCAGGACCTGCCTCAAAAAGTGAAAAATAATATTGGACTTCACGCTGAATATTGGATAAGTAAAGTTGAGAAAATTATCATCTAAGCGTTAACAACCTAGATGATAATTTTCTCAACTTTACCTGCCTCAAACTTACAATAACTATAATTGAATTATCATAATTTTAATGATTACTATAATTTTATACATTAATTTATTATTTAAATCTTCATATTATTTTAAACAAGTATATTTTCTGATTAAAACTTACAATTATTCAAAATGTTTTGATGTTAAGAGAAGGATATTGTATAAAATTCCAATTTAGAATTTCAGCAAACATTTGATTGTAAAGGTTGAAGCCTGAGGCAGGCCCTTAAATGACACTGAAAACAGTTTGAATAAAAATATTTTCTTGCTGGAAGAGAGTGAAGAGTATTGTAATTCTTTTTTAATTATTCTAATGAAATATTTTGATGTTTATATGTTCTTTTAAAAAAGAAACATTGTCTCCTGCATTAACTTGATGAAAAAAGAATCAAAGTAATTATACATTTTGTATTTTGCTTATGCTTATTTATGAAACCTATATTTTATGACTACTGTACTGTACTTACAATATTTCCAATTTTTGAATTTTAATTTAAATATATTGCAATAAAATCATGCATAGTAGAATAAAATCTCACCTCCTTCTCTTGTGATAAGATGTTTTAAATGCACAATTGAGAGAATATTTTCTAAATATGAATCATCTAAACCTTTCCTTCTCATATCTTCAACTGTGTCTGGATAAATTATTTGGTCTCTTAATGTTCCCAATGACATGTAAGGTCTGAAAATTAGATATATCAAGATCAATTTATTTGAAATTAATCAATCAAAGTGAGTAGTTAATATCCAGTCTAATTTTTAAAAATTAATGAAAACAAATAATTTGATGCATTTCAAAATTATTAGATGAAAGGTCAAGAAATTTTTCTTTATAATTTATATAAATTTACAGTAGAACCTCGATTATCCGCCTCCCGATCAACCGACCCCTCGGTTAACCAACCGTCCTAGTCGGCAAATTTCAAATGTCCGCTAGTGATGTGCGCTACAATATTTGGCTATGTCTTGGCTACTTTAATATTATTTTTACGTGTTTTAGCTGGCAACACTCATTCGACCATAAAAGGGAGTCAATATTTAAACGAGGCTTAATTTTCTAATTTTTAACGATACAATAGCGACGATTATTATTTTAAAAAATTTTTGTT